TTGTTTTGGCATGGTATCTACGGATTCCTTCAATCGCTATCTCTGAAGGTATAATTTTGTTTTGGCATGGTATCTACGGATTCCTTCAATCACTATCTCTGAAGGTATACTTTTTTTTGGCATGGTGTCAACAGATTCCTTCAATAGCTATCTCTGAAGGTATATTTTTTTGGCATGATATCTACGGATTTCTTCAATAGCTATCTCTGAATGTATAATTATTTTTGCATGATGTCTACGGATTCATTCAATAATACATAATAGTAAAAAGTAATAAATCAGCTACGTCAATAGCTAGCTTTTAAAACATAAATTTTCTTTGTCATGGTGTCTATACATTCATTCAATAATATGTAGTAGTGTAATATATGAAGCTTGTGGACAGGATAAATCATGTGCCAGCATGTGGTATGTTGTGAACACGCCCTTTGACTAATAAGAAACCATGTATAGAACAAATTATGAAAAGTCGTACTACGTTTTCTATAGCTAAGGTTCTCTTTCACTGATCTAATCGATAAACAAAAACGCTCAGCCTGACTGTCATTTTTATTCTGACCTTAGAATATGTCATATTTATAACAAGCGATTTTCACAAATGGGAAAATTTAACGTTTTACTTTCACACTAATGTCTGCACTGCTAGGCCTTAGAACATTTCACTTGGCGAGTGCGATTTTCACGAATGGGAAGATTTAACGTTTTACTTTCACACTAATGTCTGCACTGCTAGGCCTTAGAACATTTCACTTGGCGAGTGCGATTTTCACGAATGGGAAGATTTAACGTTTTACTTTCACACTAATGTCTGCACTGCTAGGCCTTAGAACATTTCACTTGGCGAGTGCGATTTTCACGAATGGGAAGATTTAACGTTTTACTTTCACACTAATGTCTGCACTGCTAGGCCTTAGAACATTTCACTTGGCTAGTGCGATTTTCACGATAGGGAAGATTTAACGTTTTACTTTCACACTAATGTCTGTACTGCTAGGTTTAAGAACATTTCACTTGACGAGTACACGAAGGTGTGTAATTTTTTTTCTGAAAAAGGGAAAACTGAGACAGGGCGGGTATCAAACTTTCACTACTGGTTGATGGTGAGTCACATTTTAATCAACTAAGAGACCGCATCTCAAATTTATTCGTTCTCACGAAGCGACAATGGTTAAATTGGAATTTCAAAGGATGTGGAACTCCCTTTTGTGACCCAATTTGGGTCACCACTTCAGAAGCTCTGGAACGCTAATGGCTTGAATCCTTAAGAGGCGGAACGCCGTTCCGCCCTAATTTAACCCCTGCGAAAGGAACGTATGGAAGAAATCTTGTGCTGTGAATGTCAGCTGGTTTTTACAGTTTATAATCCTTTATTACCAGATTAAGGTTTGGTAGCGCAGAATTTTCATGTGTATCTACAGAAATTTTGAGAGTGGCATTACGTCCTGTACAAACTGAATCTGAGCGAGATTCGAACCCATGACTCAGCCTGCTTTTTCATAGTACGCCTCGAATGTCACATAGTGATGTTGACTAACCTAAATAACCCTGATGTGTAATCTTTGTAAGTTAAATTTTTGTTTCTAATTAGAAACGCTGATTTGTCGCAAAAGATAATGAAATGATCATCAGTAAACAGACAACGAGACATCCATCCTTACCATGTAAGGGGCGAAAGCACTGTATTCACCCATCTTTTTACTATGAGATAATTATGAAATATACAGAATTTAATGGGAGTATTACAAGGAAGATAATCTATACTTTATTTGCTATCAAGGGTCAAATTTTAAAAAGGTTGTCCGGGTTGCGGGGCGGGTTCAAACTGCTGAGTTATAGGTGTAGCCCTCAAATTCATAAGAAGGGCATCCAAACAAATAACAATAAAGCGACAAAACGTAGTGAAATAATTAAGACCAATCACAGGTAAGTAAAACAATAATTTTCGAAAGTGTATATAATAAACAGTCTCTATAACTTTGTTAAAATTGGAGTTCGTTATACTTTTATGTTTCAGGTATGTGAAAAAAATTCGCGCATTTCACTCGAAAATTATGGGTCCTTAGCTTCGCAAAAATTCGTATGGAATTTTTTTTTTGAGGGTGGGGGCGTCTGATTTTGGGCAAATTCCCGACTCTACTTACCAGTACATCTAAAGTAACATTGAGACTAGACAATGCCAAATGTTTATTACCACCCTCGTCACGCAGTAACAAGATTAAAAAAAACAAAAAAACCTCTCACAAAATTAGGTATATTTGAAAGCCGGTAACAAGACCTGCGCCATGATGGAATGTGACACATGCAAGTTTTCTCAGTTATTTACTTCGATATTAAGAGGGCACACAAAAGAAAGCACAGGCAACACTATTATCACAACTTCAATGGTACATTTGAAATGGCTAGTACAAGTTAAAAATTATGAACCTAAAGCATTTTTGGTTTAAAACTACGTATCTTATTTTATGTTTTTTTTTATTTTCATTTCTAACAAAACCAAAGAATAGTTCGTTTTTTAAAAATATTAATAAAATTTCATTTCAAGACGACACACAACTGTTTCATTAAAATCCGCAAAAACATTCTAGTTTTTATACAGTGACGTACAAATGAAAAAGTACAAGCGAATACTATATTTCGATATTAACTCTGTACACTCATGTAATAAGTATACTATATAAAAAGCGGCCCGGCATGGCCAGGTGGTTAAGGCACTCGACTCGCAATCTGAGGGTCGCGGGTTCGAATCCCTATCACACCAAACATGCTCGCCCTTTCAGCCGTGGGGGCGTTATAATATGACGGTCAATCCCACTATTCGTTGGTAAAAGAGTAGCCCAAGAGCTGGCGGTGAGGGGTGATGACTAGCTGCCTTCCCTCTAGTCTTACACTGCTAAATTAGGGACGGCTAGCGCAGATAGCCCTCGTGTAGCTTTGCGCGAAATTCAAAAACAAACAAACTATATAAAAGAATGAAAACATTTGGAAAATCACATTCAAAAACCTTATAAACCGCTTTCGACAGGGGAACTTGTCTTTAGGTCCATTAGTCGGAAGTGCTAGGGTTTTACTGGATAATTTTGAATGGGGTTTATTTCAATTCATTTTTGAATCGTGAACGTGCAAAACTTTTCGTCTCAATTCTATAAAATTATTATATAAAACGCACATGACTAGCTCGTTTCTTGGTCGTGTTGTGGTTTTGGTTATGAAGGTAAAATAATGAAACTGCCCGTATATATATAAAATACACATTTCGTATTTTAACATTTATTTTCGCCACAAGAAGTGTGTTTGTTTTGCTGTTATAAAGAATGTAATATTAAAAACTGCAAAATACTGGTGACGTTTGGGTTGGGATTTGGGATTATGTACTTCTTTTCTGGTTTTTACTTTTCATTTCAATACATTAAAGCTCGTTGTTGTGTAGAGCTGGTTTTAAGATGTCGTTGGAAACCCATACTGTATTTCTTTATAAGGTTTTTACAGTCTTGATCGCAGGGAGGATATAAATGTTGATAGACACTTATACCCTTTATGGATAATAAACACGTGTGTGCTTACTTACACACGGTTGCTGAAATATTGACCGTAAACTTCTGAATGAAGCAAAAATAACCTAGAAGAAGAAGAAAAAAACTATCTCAAGCTCTCGTTTACTGTTTCAGTAGCCGTCTGTATGGGTTATTAAGTAAGTCTGCAGAATGAAGCATCGGAAGTTTGTGAATTATATCAAACCAGCATGAAAATATCAAAACTAATAACCTTTTCTCTCAAACTTTTGTTCACTGTGTTAAGTGTATTAGTCTATGAACTGAATTAAATAAATCAGTATGGGAGAAAACACCATGTGTTAATATTATACACTACAGGATGAAGAATGAAGCATCGGAAGTTTGTGAATTATATCAAACCAGCATGAAAAGATCAAAACTAATAACCTTTTCTCTCAAACTTTTGTTCACTGTGTTAAGTGTATTAGTTTATGAACTGGAATTAAATAAATCAGTATGGAAGAAAACACCATGTGTTAATATTATACATTACAGGATGAAGAATGAATGCTCTAATCACAATATTTGTGACAAAACTTTAAAGGCTCTAAATCACGAACAGTGTACATTCCATAATTAAAAGGTTGTATCAATATTATAGTACAAAGCGTATGTTACAGAGGAAAGAAATACTTAACACACCGAAAACGAAGTCAGACTTAAAACCAACAGTGGTGGACACGGAGGTTTTGTGGATAGATTATTGTTGAATAATAATACATACTGAATCATGTTGGCATAAATAAACAAAAGATATTTATAAACAATGATTAAAACATAAACAGCCAGACTAAGGGATGAGAAATACATAAGGTTTAAGTTTTGAAACACTTCAGTAACTCACCAGACTTAACAGAACAGTGTATGTGGGATCGTGACTCGTAGTAAACCCAGTCGAAGCCTGCTTCAACTGCTAGCCGAGCCAGCATGCCGTATTTAGATCTATCACGGTCACTGGTTGTGATGTCCACTGCACGTCCTTCGTAATGGAGAGACTCTACAGCATGATGGAGCTCTTCATCCCATCCCTCTGTGACTCGAAGTCTGACCCCTGGCCACTGATTCATTACCGAGATGGCTAGAGTGTCCAGTTTTTCTTTGCATCGCTACAGATAAATAAACAGAACAGAATAATAAATTTTATAAATTTGTTTGTATGTTTCTTTATTAAGCACAAATCTACACAAAATTGTGTCTGTACAGTGCCAAACCGTGGGTCTCAGACTTACCGCTGAGCTATCGGGGGGCATGCTTTTATAATTATTATTAGTATTAATAAGTTATTTGTGTCATCGTGTTATTCCTTGATTAACCCAATAGAAATGTAATTTAACAGGTTGCGTATAATTAAGAAAAACAAGCAAAAAAAAAGGTTTTCTCAAAAAATTAACATTTTTGAAAACTATAATACAAAGTGTATAACCATAAAGTACCAAGAGCGCACGTAACTGATACACAATATAAATACAATATTAAAACAAATGTAACTTTTTTAAAAGACTGGTTGATACGTATGTGTGTCTGTTTGTTTATTTGTTGTATTTCACTCCAAGTTACACAAGAGCTATCTGCGCTATAGACATCCCTAATTTTGAAGAGAGGGGTAGGCAGGTAGTAATCAACAGTACCCATCTCCATCTCTTGGATTACTCTTGTTAGACCATATGGTGGGATTTGACTGTCGCTGTTATAACGCACCTAATGCCCAAAATTGCAGATTGTTATTTATTTATTTTTTTTGTCGTAACGAAACGCGAACCATGAAATGAGATCCACAGTCAAGCACTCTAAATCAGTGGGCCACGCTCGACCACATAAATAAAAGAAAACATGATGTTCTCTTGTTTTTTCTTTAATCAGTTTCATAAAATCCAACTTTCCCAGTATCATACGACTGCCAATCGGTTTCTTACAAATTCTGTATAGGAAATACAAGTTAAACTCAACAGGCAAGTCAATAACCTCGTCTATTCACTTATTGTGTCTACCACGGGTATCAAAACCCGATTTCTATCGTTCTGAGTCCATAGACTTACAGCTGAGCGACTGGGGATTTTTGAAACCAAAGATACTGCAAAAGCACCACTGGATTTTTTTTTAATTTGAAATTTTCATTATTGTATTTTTAACCCAATGTCATACAATGGGTTACCTGCGCTCCTGCCCGCCAAGGGGAATCGAACCTCAGATTTTTACGTTGTATGTTCGTGAATTTATCGAATTTAAATTCTGTAAAGAAAGAAAAAAACCAACTAGAATATCATGTTTTTCATATATATTTATTTGTACATGTTTGTGTTGATTACTGTTTGACTTACTTTTTGATATATTTATATACAAGTGCACCTAATTTATATACTTTAGAATATTGCCTGCAAAATTAGTATAGTAGTAACATGATCTTTGCATACATCAATCATTAACATGTGATAATAAAGCAATATACAGTGGATGCCGTTTACTAAGGTGTGGTTTCATCTTTGGCTGTTTGAACTGTTTCATTTCTTTGTAGTAGGACATCTATAAGCTCCTGAAAAGTATGCTGAAGAATTAGGTTCCATTCCTCGAGAACACAGTTTGGCATAAAACATGACAGTCTCGTTCACTTCCAACCACTGTTACCTGATGAGACTTATGCAATAACCTTTGGTATTGTTCCTTTTGCAAAACCAACACATTTAATAATCGGGCTCTTACAATCCATCCAATAAGCTACTTCAACACATCTTTCCCATGTTGCTTGGCAACTAACTGGAAGTAGAGCTTAGATAAACTTAAATAAAACAGATCACCTGTCTAAGAGGTTATTGAAACAAATTAACCTGTCAGTCGAGGGTCTAGCTCATTTATAGTTTCGGGGAGAATGGGCAAATCTGTAAGTGGGTGTTTCAATTTTTTTTTATCCAATCCCTAAAGAAAGTTACTATTCAAGTAGCAAAAATTAAAGTTGACTTGCACAACGCCTTCTATATACAGAAATTTGTTTGTTGTTAAGCGCAAAGTTACACTATGGGATATCTGTAATCATCCTAATACCGTATATATTCTTCTCTCTTTTTTTCTTATCAAGTCTCTAGGAAGTACTAGAAAAAAACCCAAAAACGAATGGATATATAGATTCTCTCACAACTGCTGTACGTCATAGTGCAGATATAAGCACAGGAAGTCTCAAAGGTCGATTCTTATATGAAAAAAATCCATTATTTTATTTGTTTAAAAATGCAATCATTGTCTGAATATGTTTTTCTTTATATCATAAGAACGAGTCATCATAATTTTGATGCGTGAAGGGAAGGTTGAGTATGTTCACAATGCACAGCACCTGAAGTAATGATCGGGATTTGAGTATGTTCACAATGCGCAGCACCTGAAGTAATGATCGGAATTTGAGTATGTCCAAAATGTACAGCACCTGAAGTAATGATCGGAGGTTGAGTATGTCCAAAATGTACAGCACCTGAAGGAATGATCGGAGGTTGAGACTATGTCAAAAATGTACAGCACCTGAAGGAATGATCGGAGGTTGACTATGTCAAAAATGTACAGCACCTGAAGGAATGATCGGAGGTTGACTATGTCAAAAATGTACAGCACCTGAAGGAATGATCGGAGGTTGACTATGTCAAAAATGTACTGCACCTGAAGGAATGATCGGAGGTTGACTATGTCAAAAATGTCCAGCACCTGAAGGAATGATCGGAGGTTGAGTATGTTCAAAATGTACAGCACCTGAAGTAATGATCGGAGGTTGAATATGTTCAAAATGTACAGCACCTGAAGGACTGATCAGAGAAAAATGGTAGACCGCTTATAATAGATTGTGTGTCAGTATGCCAGAAATCATACTGTACACCTATAGATCTCGTTACATGTTTTTCTGTTGTAATGCGGCGAGTTTTCCTTGCACGTCATCATGCGACTTCTGATTGTTAACACTAAAAATATCAGGTTTTTACAAGTTTTATATCTAATTCCTTGAGCTTCACTGCGATTATATTTCTTAAAATTAATTAAAGAATGAAGAGCTTAGAATTTTCTTCTGGAAAATCTGTTGTCGACAAATGCAACCAAGACTGTCGTACGCAGTTGTTGAAAGCAGAGGTAGAAGTTACAGTATTGAATCTCGGAAAGAATCGCGTTACAGTAAAACTTAGTCCTTGACAGGAAGTATCCGATAACCATCTAGAACACAGAGTATTCGGTCTCACAAAATCTGAAATTCTGATTTTTGTATGTTTATTCATCACAAAAGTTCCTCACGTAATTCTTTAACTTAAGTGCCATCAAGGTTATCGCCTACAACAATCTTAACAAACAACATTAAAAAAAAATATGTTAACATTTTGTAAGACAATTAAAATGAAGTTTCCTTTTTTTGCTGCAAATTTAATATATTATAGACAGTGAAGTTATAAATGATTTATGCCATTCTTCTTATTTAATAAAATATTCGAGCTAATAAGAACTAGGGGAAACCTCAATAGCCGTGGCTGTAATTAGATCTGAAATCGGTCAAGAGATGGAACTATGAGCTAAGAGTTTGTACTAAAAAGGAGGGAATAGTTACGTATAACAACAGGTTTATTCAGGCTATCCGGTGATTCAACAGTACAACTGAGGGCTTATAACGCTAAAAATCAATTTTCGATACCCGCGGGGGGGGGGGGGAAGAGTACAGATACCACACTATGTAGCTTTGCGCTTAATAAGAAACAATATGTTCTTTAGTGGCTCCTTTGTATCGTTCTGGGCATAAGTATTTCCATTACAATATTTGTTAATTTCTGTCTTTGAAAATTTTACTTTAGCTCACTGAAGGTTTTGCGGTTAATGTATATTGGCAAAAGTTGTGTTCTCTTCAATTAACACGTGCTTATCTGGTATTGTTGAGACAGTAATATTTTCGTTGGCTGTTTACGTATGACTTTTAACTAAATGAAGCTGTTGTGTGTCGCACAGTGTATGACGTTACGTAGAAAAGTATCGGTTTTATGTTCTGTTAAAAAGTTCGTATTCTCATCAGTTCTCACTTACATTTTGCTTCCTTAATGTATTTTTGGTTTGTTATGAATTTCGCGCAAAGCTACACAAAGGGTTAGTCATCATTACTCACCGTCAATTCTTGGGCTACCCTTTTACCAACGAATAGTGGGATTGACCGTCACATTATAACGTCCCACGGCTGAAAGGTCGAGCATGTTTGGTGGGACGGGGATTCGAACCCGCGACCCACATATTGTGAGTCGAGCGCCCTAACCACCTGGCCATGCTAGGCCTAATGTATTTCTATGCAATTGTGTGCATATAATAAAAATATATGGAAATTGCACAGATTCTGTTTTTTTAAGAGATGGTTGAGTGATATTGAAAATATAATCTTTATTCCAGTATTTCCAGAGGTGGCACTTGTATAAAAAAAGTTATCTTGGAAGACTAATCTAAAACATTAGCTCAAGTAGCTCATGGCTTTCGAAACGTCGTCTTTAATACTTGAGCAACTTTTCTGGTTTTTAGTCCTTCAAGACTTCATCTACAGTTGTTGCCTATTTCACATTTCTTTGCTCATCATGAATACTCTGCCTAAGTCATTTATAAAATCATTTCTCAAACTTGTTACTATCATACCTAAACCGTAATCTTTTATTAAAATTGGGGAATATTTCAACTACTTTTATATAAAATAATAATTCAAGCTGCTATCCATTTGAAATATCTGTATTTTATTTTACTGATTAAAAGCATATTATCAAAGGAACTCTCGGATATGGTTTTCATTCTGGCTCTATAATGTTGGTTGACTTGTTATTTTACGTGCTATAGAGCCAGAAAAAAACCACGTCACGTAAAATAACAAGTCATCCAACATTATAGAGCCAGAATGAAATCATATCATATAAACTAATAAGTCAACCAACACTATAGAATCAGAATGAAAACAATATCATGTAAAATAATGTCAGCCAACGCTATAGAGCCAGAATAAAAACCATATCACGTAAAATAACAAGTCAACCAACATTATAGAGCCAGAATGAAATCATATCATATAAACAAATAAGTCAACCAACACTATAGAATCAGAATGAAAACAATATCATGTAAAATA